CCTCTGGGAGATCTACACTCTAGGAGATAGCCAACAAAAGGACTAACAGCCAGACTCTTCTATGATAGGCAAGGCTACATAAACCTCTGTAACTATGGGAAACCAAGTAGTCTTGATAAAGGACTTCCTACTAATCACAATCTGCATCTGCACACATTTAACAGGATAGATTTCATAAGCGGAAAATAAAAAAAACTTTTGTTTTTAATTTAGAAAGAACATGCAAACAGAATTTTCCTACTTCTCTTATCTCCAATCCATGTTGAAGACTTACTCCTCTGTGACAACCCACCTGGCCGAGCTATTTATTACATGGGATAGACAGGGCAGTGAAGCTCCTGGGGAGAGCTGGAGTAATGGGGGAGCCTTCATGCCCCATAGCAGGCTGAGTCAATAAGCAGGGTCCTCAGAGCTGCAGAGTAAAAGGAAGCCGCTGCAGGCAGTGATCACACATTTCCCAGATTCACACACCTACATTCTTGGGCAGTGATCAGTGGCATCACAGAAGGTGACAGTAAGCAGATGGACAGGTAAGAAGGGAAGTATCAGTTGGAGTAAGAGATCATAGTGGCCTGGCAGAGCACAAAGCAAAGAAAGACAGAGGTTAAAGATTGTTTCCAAAGCTAACATGACAGAAATAAGTTACTAACAAACACAGCCCCACAGTGCCAAGTTCTCACATGGTCTTTAAATACCTCAGTGAAAGGGGCCCTGAAATTTTTCTTTGCTGGCTTGTCCAACATGCTCAAGAGCAAGCAGGGCTTCCCCATGCTGCAGAGGGTTTCACCCGGGCTGCTCCTCCCTCTCGTTGGAGTTTCTGGAGGGGGCTGGGGCACTGTTAAGAGAGCTAAGACAACTGCAGCAGGAGCCTGGAAGCTACTGCCACCGCTGTCACAGCAGGAGGTGACACACCTTGGTGCCAAGGAGAAATCCAGCCACAGCTGCTGAAATTCTGTGACATCTGCACTGATTTTCTTCTGCTTCTAAGCAGCTGTGCAGGGGGACATCTAACAAGGGTAGGTTACAAACAATGGTTGCATCATGAGAAGAATTTAGAGGAATGATACTCCATCAAGTTTTCATGAAATTAGAAACCAAGCAGGTGCCTAAGAAACCACTGCCATCAACATGGGTGTCACTAAGCAGGCTCTACTCATTTCTCAGTGAGCCCCAGGACTTCTATGGTGAAATAGAGGTTAAAAAAAAAAAAAACCAGACATTCCTAAGTTTTCTTAAAGTGTACCTCCATCTAACTAACAAGAAGGCAGTTCCATGTGATACTCTGATTAAGTTCATTATTTTGAAAGACTCTGGGATCATTTTCCCTGGATGTTGACCTCTCTAAAAAACGGCACTGAGTTCTCCCACTTGAGATTTTCTTCCTGGGAATACTTCAATGTGCAGGCAGCCCCCAAAGTGCACAAGGGAAGGACTGCTGTGGACTTCAACCTCCTACAGGGCCCACCATGGAGAAGACACCCACTGAGATCCCCAGGCAGAGAAGGTTTTGTGAGCTGCTCAAGGACTCACAGCTAATTAACTATAAGCCTAGATCCCAAGCCAGGCAACCTTGCTTAGAGGACATTCTCTTAACCACTTCTCCTCCCAGTTCTCCATTAACAGTGTGGGGAAGGGTCATTCGATCTCCTTGGATATAAAGACAGAATACAAAGTTCACCAAGTGAACCAAGAGGTATTAGTAGCAGATCTGGGATAAGATGCTAAAAATGTGTGTGAGGACTGGGAAGAGGGATCTGGGGGAAATAGAAGTGCCCCCCTCAAATAAGAAGTTCAAGCATGAAAACAAAATATATGAAAAGTTGGAAATTCTACTTCAAACTAGTTGCCTTTACTAGATGTCAAAGATGAGTTGTTAGTCCAGCGATGAAAGCACACAAAAATTTTTGGAGTTCTTTTCTTTTACACTAATAAACAGGTTTGGTAGGAGATACTGAGTTGATCTTTCTCTTGACCTTAAAGGACAAACATTAATTAGATGTTTGTGGTATTTATAACCTTTATAAAAACAAAGCTCTCTAATTTTCAAGTTTCTCTTCCTGAAAATATCATAGCAATTTCCAAAAAAAAGATAGATATGATATTATATATTAGAATAGACAATGTAAACTAAAAGGAGACCAATAGAGCTAAAATTAATGTTTATAATAAGAATATTAAATGAGAGCTTGCTTATATAAAATAAAAGTCTTAAAAATACCAGAGTAAATTCATGCTATTATGCAAGACATTTTAGCCTAGAATTAAACTGCAACCTAAATCTGCTTTGTTCTAAATTTCACTTGGCCTTAGAAGTCTAGGAGACCAATGAATGGATAAAGAAAATGTGGTAATATACACAATGGCATATTATTCAGCCATAAAGAATAATGACATTATGGCATTTGCTGGTAAATGGATGGAACTGGAGACTATTATGCTAAGCAAAATAAGCCAGTTCCCAAATATCAAAGGACAAATGTTTCTCTGATATGTGGAAGATAATCCAAAATAAAGTGATAATGGGAGAAGGGAGATTAAAAAAAGAAGAAGAAAGAGAATTTTTTTAAAAAGGGAGAGGGAATTTTATCACAATATAGGAAAGAACAGTAAAGGATGAAGGGGATGGAGGAGGGCAGAAGAAGGGATAGGAAACAGGAAGAACAGTGAAATGATTCTAGCCAAACTTTCCTATGTGTATGCATGGATGTGGTATGATGGGTCCTGGCATTAGGTGTATACACAGGACACTCATTAAAAACAAACAAACAACAACTTCCCCCCAAAACTGTAAGTGGATTTTAGAGAGATTGGTGGAGTGCAGGAAAGGGAGTGAGGAAGGGGGCAAGTGCTGGAAACTGAATTGGAGAGGGCTACGTTCCATGCTTTTGTGATTATGTCAGGGCGTATCCTGGTGCTGTATATAACTAAAAATAATTTTCAAAAAGTTTAGGAGAAATTGCTCTAAACTGAAAAATGTAACAGTCTTTGGTCCACTTAAGCTTTAAATCTTAAGTGTTATAAGAAAACAAATTTTCCTAAATATGCCTACAACAAAACCCTTTTTCAGAGGAAAGAAATGATTTAGAAAATTACAATTGAATGTTGTTAATTCAACTTGTCTGATGCTATATATTTTACATTTATATAAATGAAATAAAAGTTTCCTTGACAATAGTAACCCTTAGAATGTTCTCTAATACTTTTCCTATTTTCTTCTAAATAAAAAAAAAATCCTGATGGGCACTAATCATACAGATCACATGACCAACAGGGTCTGGAGATGGACTCTGTTTAAAACACCTGCGGATGCTTAAGTCTCATCAAGACCTGGGGGCATTTCCTCACAAGGCAGTTGAACTTCACTTGCCCCTGGGAGGCCTCAGAATGGTGACTGGATGCTGCCACTGCTCCTTAGTTTCGCCACGGGATGGGCAACCAAAGGAGTTGCTCTTTGAGGCAATGCTCTGGCTGTGTTGCTGAAGACTGAGGGCTGCAGGCAAATCCCTCTCTGTCCTCCCCGGAGAAAATGGGAGTTGGCACTGCTCAGATGGGTGGAGAAAACTCCCTGGGGTTTTGGGGGTAAGTCTGGCCAGGTAAAGGCTGAGTGTGCTGGCCTTGTCCTGCATGAACGCAGGCCTGGGCAGACTGTCCCTGCCCCTACCTCTGCTGTGCCCTCACACTTCCACCTCATGGCTTATCTCTCACTTCAAAGTATATAAGAACTGATTTCACCTTTAATTTTCTTACAAGCAGAAGAAACTTTGCTCTCCCCTCACTTCCACCCCCAGACAAAATCTTAGACAACCCATACATAAAATGCAGCTGGAAGGATGTGGCAGAGTCTCGTGTGACCCTCCATCTCCTGGCTCACCCTTTAGTCCCTTGGATTCAAGTAGGCCTCTACCAGACCCTCTGCCTCCGTAGAAAAGCAGCAGGAACTAGTGCCCGAGGCTCTCAAAGGCCATCAGACCACTGTGACATCTGTGCTCTCGCTAACCCTTCCTTGCTCACTTCACTAAATCTCGCCACAATATAGAACTCCCTAAAACTGCAGCAAGTGGCACTCCAGCAGGAGCCCATGTAAAGAGATTCTTCTGAAACTCACTCTACCCTTAGTCACCCTCTACCACTCTGATGAACTGTCAGATAGAAAAGAACATCGGCCACACCAAGTGGGTCCTGCTTCCCACTGCCTACCATACCCCATACCTCAGTATTAGCTTGCACTGACAGAGCAGACCAACAAAGCTCCAGATAACCACTGTTCACAGAAAACATGATTCCAAAACAACAACTGAATCATTACAAGCTTTATGTTACTGTAAAAGTATGAAAACAGGTTTCACTATAGCTAAGCTGGATTATTTCTTACTCCTTTCTTCTAGCAAGAAAATACGCAATTAATTATTTAGACTCAGCAATTCTAGCAGCACCTAGAAAAAAAAGAGAGCTCTAGTGTCCTCTCTTATCAGCCCTGAGGGGCTGAGACAGGCTAGGGATAAGGTGTGGGAAGTTTTCTGATGCTGTTACTAAGCTCACCTTCACAGTGACACTTTTTATGATCGTAAAGCAAATCATCTGTCACTTATATCTTACATATGGGGGCTTCTAAGGGAGTGAAACCTTAAAAAGGCTGAAATTAAGTGATTCATCAAGTTGAGTGGAAAAAATACTGCTTCTAGTGAAAAAAAATGAAGAGATTATAAGAGTATAGAAGTGGAGAAAGTTATTTGGATAAACTACTTACGATAGTTTAGTAGGTAGCAAAGTTAAGATTTTGACAAAATTGATTATTATAATATCACTGGTTCTAACATTAACAATTTAACTTTTTAATGTCTCCTCCTATAAGGGAATTCCTACTTCCAATATACTTAATTACTTATCATGTCATTTCCAATATTTTAGAAACTCAAATGAAGATCTTCACATTTTTTTCATAATTAATACTTTGACATAAGTTTCAAAATGATGTCTGGAAATGAAAAATAAAAATGTACCTTTTCCAATTCTCTTGGTATTCGCATACAAGTGTACACTCTTTCTCTTCTTTCTGTATACTTGGCCTCGTTATGTTCGAGGAAGTACCCTCTTGTTAGTTCAGCACTGAGGAACCTCAACAATGAAAGCTCTACAGAAAAAAAAAAACAATGACACAAAACAAAAAGAACAGTGTTTATCAAGGAACATACAGGCTAGCTGGGGCCACAGTAATACATACATAAAACAAAAAGAGAACCAATTTATAATTCTGTTCCTAGAACCATCTACACACAGTGAGCAGCAACGGTGCTGGGAATGCTGAGTGTGGTGTGAACTGGAAACGCCATTGCCCATGGAAAGGACTGCTTCCTGAGAGCAGGAGACTCTGAAAAGAGTTTCGAGAGCCTGGTCCAGGATCTTAAGAGGGATACAGGACCTGGACTGATGGACAGATGGCAGAGGAAAAGAGCAGCTACCAAGAATCTATCAGGTGAACATGCTGAGAGTCCACGGGAACCAGGCTTCCTGGCAGGCACTGCAAGAGGCTAAGAGCCACACGGTGAGAACCCCAGGAACACTGCGCACACTGTCGCAGTTGCAGATCTGCCTCAGAGATCCTGCACAAGCAGCCAACCATGGCATTTCCTGTGTGAGGGCTTACAACAGGATGGTCACAGCAGCTGAACCAAGCCACTGGAATTCAGACCGGGGACACCTCCCTCTCCCAGAGTCTTCCTATCCACCCAGCTTCCTGTTCCTCAGAAGCAAATCCAGCCAACAGCCCCTAATCTCAGATGAGGAAAGCAAGGCCAAGACATGCTGAAGTCTCTCCCCCAACTACAACTGGAGGCTCAAAATGGGGGTCCTAGGGGTATGCCTGGCCCTGACTCTACCCAGAGTTACCCTTCCCCGACAGCCCACCACCTCAGCAGCGCTTCTTCCCACTCCTACTCTGCAGGAGATCAAACTCCTTTCCAGAACTCAGGATACCAAAAGGTGTCAAACTGCTCTCTGGCTGTTCTTGTGCTCTCTTGCTACTAAATGGAGTAATGAAGTTTCCTCTCAAAATGACAGAGGAAGGTTGGTTTCATTTATGTGTATTTGCTTAAGGAGCTGCATCTTGCACTGAGTGCCAGAAGCTAGGCTGTGCGTGCGGGGAAAGTGTTGATAGTCCAAAACACTCTTAGAAGAGGACTGAGATGTCCCTGAACAGGAGGTCTGAAACAACTCACTCCTCTGGGACGGGAAGAGATCCCTACTTCTACCAGCATCGTGTTAAGTGACTTGTTTTATGTCTTCTGTAAGTATACACACACACCTTTAAACACTACATTCGTAGTCTGTTTGAAGAGTTACTGGCACCATATTTAAAGATGATCTTATGAACACAAAAAGTAGAATTAATCAAAATGTCCAACCATTAGAATTGCTTCATAAATATCAATGTTATCAGTTTAAAAAAAAGAGAGAATTGGAAGTCCAATGGCAAAAGAAGAGAACACCAGATTCTTAGAAGAGACCCCCAACTGGGACAACAGTTCTGAGACTGGGGAGGAGCTTCTGGTGCCAACTCAGCCAGCCCTGGTAGATACCCAGCCTCTACTCTGTTTGTGGGTCACAGTGATGGTAAAGGGTGGCCCAGCAGGTGCCTGAACCACAGCTCCTGACAGAAGAGGTGCCATGGTGCAGTCATAGCCAGGAGGACTGTAGGTGCTACATACAGACGCACATAAGTACAAGGACAGAAGCTGGGCAGCCTCAGGGTCTGAGACAGAGGTACAGGCACTCACACAATAATTTTAAATTTAAAAAAGCAAATTAAGTAAAAAGGCTTAGATAGCTACCTAGTTTATTTGGAAAATGATCTTCCACAATGGTGTCTCCCTTGGTGCATGCAGAGGCCAGCTTTTACCATAATCCACTCTGTTATGACCCACAAGAAAAGCATGGAGTCAGCAATGAGAAGAAGGGGCTCCAGACCGGCCCCCTCCATTTCACAGAAGAGAAAACTTATGCTCAGGCAGCTCTGTGACACCTGCTTCCTGCCTGCCTTCCACAGAGATCACTGAGGGACTGACCATATCTGTATGGATGCATATGAAAACCGCAAAGACTGCCACAATGTCTTGAACTACTTACTGTTCATTTTACAAGTTCTACAGTGTTCACCACTTCTGGCTTGGCCGTTATCTAATGTTTACTGATGCTATTTCTGCAGTCCTGTTTCTATGGTTGAACAATAAACAGTTTCTGTAAGAAACAGAAGTGTTTTAACTACATTATAAATACCTAACAATAGTTGGAGTTCATCTCCAGAAATAAGAATTTTTATTAAAACTAATTTTGAACCACAACAGAGAATGTTAAAACATCAAATGATAAAAACATAGTTTGACCCCCCCCATAACTATGAAACAGGTTCTAGAGTTAAGCCCATTTTGCAGATGAAGAAACCAAGGCAGAGAGAAGCCAAGGAGGTCTCTACGAAGTCTATCCCTAAGCACGTGCCCTTCGTCACTATTTTATGCTGCCTATCACTGTCAGGTGCTGTGAAAAGGAGCCTGTGTTCTTTCTGGAAAACTAGACACCCCCCTTTCCCTATGCTGCCACAGCACCTGGGCTGACTTCTGTGACACCGCACCACTAACCATTCAGCTGCCTTACAAGACCATGAATTTCTTGAGAGCAATGCTATGTACCGCTATATTCCTAATGTCCAGCCTTGAGCGAGCTCTGACAGAAGGGGTTATCTCTGAGCACAATAAATGCTTGGCTGATGGGATGGAGAACAATTCTAGAAGATAGGATAAGGTAACTCTAAGAAACAAACAAAACAAAACAACCCCAAGCCTCCAGGTATCAAATGTCTCAAGAGCTTTCCCTAATCTCCTCTCACCAACTCTTGGAGAAGAGGCCATGTTTAAAGGATCCAAACACTTCACGTGGAAGCACAGAACAACTTACAAAGGCCTTGCTTCCAGTACTTCAAATAATTTTCACAACGATTAAGGGGGCTACAGGGAGCAATTAATGGCATTCACATTTTACAAATGAAGAAACAGAGAAAGTTGAGAAACTTGATCAAAGTCATTGAAAAGTTAAGGGCAAAACTGGACCAGAACCTAGATCTGAACTATGTTCAGCATGCTGTCTCCCCTACATCCTAATCATCATCCATCCATCCAGCAAACATTGAGAGAATATGACCTAGTCCCGACTGGATTTTGATTCCTGTGGAAGGAAGAAGACAGCACTGCCTGGCGCCCAGTTAACAGGCTGACCCATCCCTCTGCTTTCCCTCACCCTTGCAGAGGCTGTATTCTGCAGTATGTTACCATCGTTGGCACACCTGTGACTTCGTTTTGCTTTGTTAAACATTGTTCTCTAGCATTCTGCATGCCTGTCTCAATTTTCTGCCCTGTGATTTGGGGTATCACTTCCTGATCATTATTAAGGAGAGCTATTATTCTTCGCCTGTGGGTACCACCCTTCAAGAACTCTGCCAGAGGAGTACACCTCAACTTTTCCTGTGCCTGGTGGCATTTCATTCTTTCTTAGCAAAGGAGTAGTTCTCATTTGTTATGCCATACATCTACTTTCCATTTTAAGAGCATTCTTTTCCAAAATAAAAGAATCCAAATATTTATTTTCTGAACTTTTTAGATGTCAAAAAAATTGTTCATTTATCCAGATCTTAAGAAGAAAAAACAACATTCAAAAAACTCTATTAAAAATAGGGATAGCTGGGCGCAGTGGTGAGGCTGAGGCAGGAGGATCCTGAGTTCAAAGCCAGTCTCAGCAACAGCGAGACCCTAAGAAATTCAGCGAGACCCTGTCTCTAAATAAAATATAAAACAGGGCTAGGGATGAGGCTCAGTAGTTGAGGGCCTGGAGTTCAATCCCTGGTACCAAAAAAAAAAGGGGGGACGGATTTTAGTATTTAATTATAACGTAAGTGCTTCTACATTAGAGCTAAGGCTTGTCAATTGTGAATATTTAACATAAGAAAAGTAATATCAATCATAAATGCAAATCAATTCCTCCAGCATATTTTTAATCAATTCTCAGCTTTCCCCATAGAACTTCTCTATAATTCAGTTAAACTGAAAACAAATATAGTGTAAAAGAATTATTATGCTTAATTATTTTCCAAGACAGCTTAGAAATAACAACCTAGGTAAAATAAATATTAAAAGCAATGAGTAATCATAAATATATTTATATATTCAGTAATATGTCTAAATATATCATTCTTAAAATAGCATTGCACAGTGAAAAAGTAAGTTGGAAAGTAATACTAGTTAACTGTTAAGAAAATATGAACCATGCAAATATCCAGTTTTTTTAGCTGAAATATTTTATAGACTCTATTATGGTTACATTAAATAGTAAATGTAAATTTATTACATAATTTATTACATAAATGAAAGGCAAACTAAAAACTAGACTTTGGGGAATCAATATAATACCAATTCTGTCCTTTGAATTCAAATATAAGCAAAAGAAACATTTTTCATATTATACTCATGTTACTATGCTCCTCAAAAAAATGTTTATAGTCTCATTTCAGAAAGTAAAGAACAGGAAGAATATTCATGAATTTAGAGATGGAAAACAGGTACAAAATTAAAAAATAACTTTTCCAAGGACACAGATTACAAAGTAAAGGATTAAAAAAATGGGAAAGGTATACCAATAATATGATTGTTAATTGTTTAAAACATATACATATTTGCCACAATGAACTACAAATGAGCTACTAGGACTGAATTTTGAAGGATAAACTAAGTTAAAATTAAATAATTTTAAAAAGATAATGAACTGATCAGAGACAAAAGAGAATAACTTTTCACTGTCTGTTTGGCTTACACATACTAATTAGTAAATCGAGTGAGAAGTTTAAAAGCAGAACAATAGGTTGTCAGAGAAAAGGAGCTAACTTTACTTTTCTGTAGCAGGGTTGTGGTAATTTCTCAGCCATTTTCTAATTATTTTTATTTTCCTTTGTAAGTAAGAAATTATCTGCCTTTAGGTCACAATTTCAGAGTTAGTGGCCTTTAGTCATCCATTAGGATGAGTTGGGACCACAGGGATGATCATATAAATATTCAATGGAGGGTAAAGACTGGTTAAATGAAAACATATTTCAACAGGAAGAACTTACATTTTTCAATTACACAAGTAACAAGACATGAGGAATACCAACAGTTAAAACCTTTTTTTTCCACTGGAAATCTTCTGTGAGGATTCCTAATAAGGAGGTCCGTTGGCTTTTCTGAGTTTCAATCTTTCCTCCTGCCTCTGCCCAACCTCTTACAGAGATAAAGCAAGAAGTCCAATGATGGGTAAAGCAAAGAAGAGAACCAAGGACAGAAAACAGGTCTGAGCTGCAGAAACAATAGTCACCATGGAAAAAGAAACAGCACTCACTGTTCACCCAAACCCAATTCAGCCTTTTTGTTTACAAGGCAGACTGATCCCTATGAACCCAACAGTTGCCTAAGGAGGCTACTGCTTCAGCCTCACTGGCAGGTGTCACACTTATCTTACACTGTACCTTCTGTTAGGTCTCCACGGTGAATACGCCAACTTAGATAATTTAGGTACTATTTAGTAGTGACACTATGAAACAGAGCCAAATGGATTAGGCAAGCCATCTAAGCAAGCACTGGCTACAAAGCAATTCAATGACTGAACCAAGCCAAGAACACAGATTGCCTAACTCTCAGTCCCAAGGTGACTTGTTGGATGCCAATACCCAAAGGTGAATATGGCTACCCTTTTCCCTCCTAGAACTTCTGTGGATGAATCAAAGGGGGGACAAGGCCAAATCCATGATGATATGTAGTACTCATTATCTGTTCGTATGTCAAAAAGCAAAATGGAAAAATACAGCATTTTTAAGAATAGGAAAAAAAGAGAACCAAAGAAGTGAGAATGTAGTTCTGGATGACCATCATCCCCAGAGTCCAAGGTGTGACCACATTTAGGAAAGCTCAGTGGGTGCCCTGTTGTAAGGTGTAAGTACTAACATCAGAGACAAGCTTTAACCTATTGCCAAGTGGTAACACAGTCAAAACAGAAGTTTTGAGAACTAAGTGAGAGAAGAGTTTGAAAAAAACGATAAGAAAACCACACCTTATGTAGATAAATTCAGTTGGTATATACATAAATTTGTATATTTATTTTTCTAAACATATAAATCAAGACAATCAGGAACAAAACCAAAAACAAAAAATGAAGCTTAAATTCTATATTTTGATTTATTTTACTCAGCTGGAGAGTATGGATAAGCACTTAAATCATACATTCGCTTGGGGAATCCTAGGCTATTAGGACTGATGGACAAATGTCTTATAATCAAAGCCCCAAAGTCCCTGGAAGAAATGATAAAGGGGAGTTTGGAACTAAGTGATGTTTAGGCCAACAAGACACTAAGATATGACTTTCGAAAAGGAAAAACAAAGGCTGACCCAACTTGCAGAGGGGCAACAGCACACTCATGGAGGACTTACTAGGAAGAACAGACTAGTGGTAACACCTTCAGTATGACTGCCAACCTCGGAAGACTCCTCTGACTCAGGGAGAAATGCTTTATGTCCAACACCAGGTAGTGCCACTCAAAGGCCCTCTGGCCAGGAAAACAGTGTTCTAAATTCTGGAAAGGAAGGGAAGATTACAGAGCAGAGAAGGGGCTGTGCTGGCAGAGCAGAGTGAACAAGGAAGAATGGCTAAATGAATTCTAATCTAGGGCGAAGCTTTCACCAATGCAGCATCAGAGTTACATGTAGACATGAGCTGCAACAGGAGCAGACACCAGGGGACAGAGGAAGGAGATCATGCCAAGGCCCACTACAATACCAGTGGCTGGGGCCTCCAGCTGACATGTTCTCGGGAACATGCTCACCTAACTCCTAATCCCTAAGGCTAGTGTGACCTAACAAAACAGGAGTGACCACTGTCATCTCTCCTCATAAAACTGATGGAATTGGGGAAACAAGGAGGACCATCCCAACAGCTAAAGCTCTAGTGAAGACTCTAACCATGGGTTAAAACCCAGTCAAACATCTTCAGTACACCAAGCTCAGGGAACCATGCTGGTGAAGAATGGGTGGAGTATGGGATGAAGTGTATGGAAATCCAGGTATCCAGACCCATCCC